GAAGACCTTGTATTCATATTCGTATAATAATAGAAAGTTGGTTTGTTCTATGCTAAGCAGTGTCGTATTCCAGAAGACTTCTCCTTGATCTCTGGGCTGGAATACGGGGCGTTCCGGTTTCTCTGAGCCGGGGTGCCACACATGGCTAGCTTTATTATGGATTAACTGGAATTACATCGTCCATAAGTTTGGAAAAGACATGCCCGGGCCTCGTTTGTCCAATTACTAGAAGTTTTATTACAAAAATTATTGCTAGCTAGCGCATACGCCGCTTGATTACACGAACGAACACAACGATATTCCATTATTGTCAAGGAATCCGATTCCGCTTCCACCCGAGAAAACCCTAGTGAGTTTGCATCTTGCATAGCCAGAGCCTCTGTTGTAACTATATCCGCCACATGGGAAATATAAAAACATTGAGATGCTAGAAAATTCTCTTTGTTATCTCTTAGTACTGCAACTGTAGCACCAACTCCATCAATATGGAAAGCCGCATCAACATTGAGTTTCATAAACTTAGGTTCATGTTTACTCCCTCCGTCCGGGTTTATTAAGCCTCTCAGCATCACAAGCATGTCCCCTTTTATAAGGCCCCGCATTGGAAAGGTGCATGCATGCAACCATTTCATTGGTTGTATTGAAAGCTATTGTTGTTGGTGCCATGGCTGAAAAGTTAATACACTTCATGTGTGCTTTTTCATTGGCTGCATGCATGTGAGAGAGTGCATTGGGAGTGGAATGGAATAATTAATGTGAGCAAATTACTATGTGTCTTGGTCCAAGAGAAATTGTCTTTAGGCCTAATAAACCCGGACGGAGGGAGTACTCCTTTGTTCTTCAACATTATGCTTCTTCGGGACTAAAAACATATACGTCAAACAACGACCAAGCGACACGAGCGACTTGGGAAGCGAGCCAGCTAGCTGAGTTAATGGACCAGCCAATATGCATGCGCTTCAGGCAAGATATGGCTCTCACGCGAATCACACTCGCGGTGTGAATCATTCAATCAACGGGCAGGTGATGCAGGCTAGCGGAATGGGCCGTGAATCTATAGGGAGCTCCTATCTGTCGCGCTTTGTGGTAGAATGTCGACTGCACACACAGGTGGATTTCCTGACTGGGTCATCCCATGTGGCTAGTGACCAGTACGGAATGGAAACAGTAGCGCTCGAAAAAAAAAGATTGTGCTCCGCAGGGATCAAACCCGACACCGGGTGCTTCAGGCGTATTGCTGCTAGCCAGTTGAGCTAGCGAGCTATCTTACGTACATTGCAGCACAAAAACTTAAGAACCAAACCGAGCGCAGGTCCGAATGTTTTATAAATTTTGAATGCAATTTTTTTTCTAAAAAAATGTTACTCCCTCCAGTCCCTTATACAAGGTCATTATGAAAAATACATTTTGCATCTATACAAGGCCACTAACAGTAACCGAGGAAAAATTTAGTAATGTTTTCTCGTACTAGCAAATTGTTTAATACCAAATTGTTTAATACGTGCATGCATGTAGTCATAATGACATTGTGCTACTTTTTTCTCATTCCTTCTTTGCATGCATGTGGGCATATTAATGATCCCAGTTAACAAGAAGAAGTGTTGACTTGCAAAGTAGTCATTAAATTTTACCTAGGTACTCCCTCCTTTCCGGTTTATAGGGTTTATCTCAAAATTTTAGTTTTTCTATTTTATAAGGCTCAATTTGGTTGTTCCCTATCACATGTTCAGACTTCAAGGTGCATTAAATCATTGCATGCAAATATTAAGAGAAAACTGACCAATGCATGCACTTTATGCATGCATGCATTGCAATTAATGCATTCGTAAACATAATTTTTTGAGGAAAACAAGAGCATTAATTGGGTGTTTTTGTAAACTACAAAAAATATTCCACCACTCATCATCTACATTGGTTGGTGAGATTTTTGAATTGAGCTTTATAAACTGGAAAGGAGGGAGTACCTGTAATTTGAATTTGTGGCCTTGTATAAGGGAATGGAGGGAGTAATGTTTTACGAAACTGTGAACACTTTCAAAAATTATGAATAATAATTGGAAAAACTCAAAATTTTGAAAAATGACAAACAGTTTTTGAAAAGTGGGGATCTTTTTAAACTACCCAAAAAATTGAAAACATGATTTTTTTTTTCAAAAACTGGAACATTTTTCAAATTCCAAAATAGATTTTCGGATACGCAAACATTTTTTTAAACCTGTGAACAAAATTTGGAAAAACATTTTTTTAAAAAATTTCCGAATATTTTTTAAACTTCCAAACAAAATTTAAAACATGATCATTATTTGAAATTTACAAACAATTTTTGAAAACTGGAAACATTCTTTGAAACTCCCATTTAAAAAAAACAGAAACATTTTTTAAATTTTTTGATTTTTTTTAATTGGGAACATTTTTGGGAATGCCAAACATTTCTTGAAAAGTTTTGAAAAAATCAAACAGGAATATTCTGAACAATTTAAAAAAATAGGATCATTTTTTCAAATTTCCAAACAAATTCTAGAAAATGCAAACATTTTTGGAGTTTATTGTTAAAACATGACTTTTTTCGAAAATTTGAACATTTTTAAAAAGTGAGATTTTTTTTTAATTTCCAAACAATTTATGAAACTTGAACTTTGAAAAAGGAAAATAAACTTGAAAATAGAAAAGAAACGAAAAAGGAAAAGGAAAAGAAAAAAAGAAAGGAGGACAAGAAAGAAAAAGGACAAAAAAGGATAAACCCGTGAAAAACCAAAAGAAACAGGAAAACCGGTAAACAAAAAAGGGTCCTGAAACCAGAAAAAACCGACAGTGAAACTCTAGATGGTTCCCCAAAACCGGAGACGCTACAACACGTTAATGGGCCGGCCCATATCACCGCTCGATGTGTTGGATCGACACAATGGCGGCCACAGCGACGTCGTTGGGAGGATTTGTGTTTGGAGATACGGGTGGTTCCCAGTCGCTCTCCTCCGTTGTTCGTCGTTGTCCTGCTTGATCCTCGGTGGTGCTATGGACGCCCATCGTCGGTGCATCCAAGACGGCGTCTTTCTCGGATTGGATCGTGTCCTTCCACCCACTTACAACTTCCTCTTAGGCGATGAGAGTGGATGGTGTGTCGACAGTGAAGTTCTGCGGAAGTTTGGTCTTCTGAGGTGTCTGGCATCGGTCGAGACGTGATTTTGACGTTTTAGATTAGAACATGTTTTTTTGCATTGTAGCTTACTTTGCGGTGTTGTCTTTTTAGTTTCCTATAACTAAAATTCTAACTTCTATGAAACTATGAAACACGTAGGCGTGCTCTCAAAAAAGTCACCGCTCGATCGTCAGCTTTTTTTAGGATCCGCTCGATCGTCAGCTGTGCAGAAGGTACAGTTGGACGCAGGTCAAATAGGTCACGGCCCATCACATCACTGGTCAAACTACGGAGATATGGAGCGACAACTGGATACCGAAGGAGATGACGCCACGGCCCATCACATCACTGGTTGCTCAGCCTCCCAGGTATGTGTCGGAGTTGCTCTCCCCGGCGACAGCCTCCTGGAACGAGACCACAGTCCGGTCAGTGTTCTTGCCCACAGATGTTGATGCTATCTTGAAAATCCCAGTTTGTACACGCAATGTTGAGGACTTTTGGGCATGGTACCTGGACAAGAAAGGCAAGTTCAGTGTTAGTTCGGCTTATAAGTTTTTGCTTAAGACAAAAATGCAGAGGGAGGAGTGGCTGAACGGAAATAGCGGTTCATCTCACACTGAGAAAGACGAAAAAGCTTGGACATCCTTGTGGAGACTTAAAATCCCGTCGAAGGTGAGGATCTTTCTTTGGAGGCTAGCTCATCACTCACTCCCCACAACTGATGTCTTGAAGAGAAGAAATATGTCAGATAGAGATGTGTGCCCGCTTTGTGGCTGCGAGGACTCATGGAGACATGCGTTGGTAGCATGCACGATGTCCTGGTGCGTGTGGGCGCTGTCGGACGAAAATTTGGTGTCTCTCATGGCTGAGAACGAGGAATCCAACGCAAGAATTTGGTTATTTGATCTTAATGAGAAATTGGACCATGCTAGTTTCACAAGGATGGTCATCACGCTATGGTCAATATGGTATGTTAGGAGAAAGGCTATTTATGAATCCATATTTCAGAGCCCCCATCATACAACATCCTTTATCAATAATTACATTGACGAGTTGGAGCACAATGTTGCTGGTCGAGTGCAGCAACATACTGTTGCTGCACCACCACAACTGAACAGGTGGCTTCCTCCACCAAGTGGCATCGCGAAGATTAATGTTGATGGGGCTGTGGTACGATCGCGGAGAGGAGGCGCAGTTGCTGCCCTTTGCCGCGACCATGAGGGGCACTATTTGGGCTCTTCGGTGATGGTTTACCATGGGATCACGGACCCCCTAACCTTGGAGACGTTTGCATGCCGTGAGGCTCTTGCTTTGCCGGATGACCTGGGACAACAGAGAATTTGCGTGGCAGCGGACTACCAAGAGGCGGTTAATGATATCAATGGGGGAACAGGAGGCCCCAATGCTGCGTTGGTACATGAAATAATGAACCATTGTAATAGTTTTATCACTTGCACTTTTATTTTCGAGCGTAGGAACTTTAATTTTGAAGCTCACCATCTCGCCAAGTTTGCTTGTAATCTACATATAGGTAGACATGTTTGGTTGGGCATCTCCCATTACCCCAATCTTGTACCTATGACAATTACTTCTGAATAAATAAATCAGGCGAGATTTCTCAAAAAATAGGATATTCCGAATCTAAACCCCCGTGTCAAGGTCGGCCTTCGTGCATGGGCTGTGCCTTGCACAGCGGGGCCAGGTGCGGAACTGGCCCACCAAGGCAATACTGGGCCGGCCGGCAAGCCCTACACTCGGATGCCGGAGCCTCGTGCGTTCGCCCAAAAGGGAAAAAAAAAACCGCGGCTAGCATAAACGGTGGGCGCGCGGCGGCGGCGGCGGCGGCGGTTGGCCCTCTCGAGTCATGGTGCTACCCGCCACCCTCTCGCGCGACGCCAGAGCTCACTCGTGCCCTGCACAGGACGGCCAGGGGGAAGCGGGGCCGCCGCGCCCGTGCAGACCGCCCGCGTTCTACAGCTCCGTGTTCGCGCAGGTACGCCACCCGTTCGACGAAATGCCGCACCGGGCGTGGCCGTTAGTTTTCTCGCTTTCTGCTCCCTGCGAGTGGCGTGGTAGTCTGGTAGGTGATCCCGCGTTACCGTTTCATGCTCGCAGATCGAAGAGGTCGGGTGGGGGCAGCTAGTGAGCGCCACAGGCGACGACGGCGTGTCGTGCATCACCTTCCGCGTCGTGTAAGGGATTTCTCGCCTTGCCTGGCTGACGTTTCCGTGATGCCTGAATTTTTTGCATTTGATGTTTTGATGGTCTGGAGTTAAGTATTGTTGTTCGGTGACACTATGATCATCAGACTTAGCGCACCTGTGCACGAACAACTAACCGAATTACCCCCTCCCAAAAAAAAACCTAACTGAAGTTCAGCAGTTTCATGCGTTGTTCCTTATCAGGTTGACGGGTTACCGTTTATCAAGAACTTTGAGCTGTAGCTTGGATAGGATGATACCATGAAGTTCCTTTGACAATGCATGCAGTGTTTCTGTTCTGTGATTGCATTTGCATTACATAAACTTATGGCTTGTGGCATCTCTGATTGTCAGGGATGAGCAGCGACGGCAACATTTACTGGAGATCACACTGCCCATGAACTACCCGGCATGCCCTCCTTCAATTGCTGCGGTACATTTCATCTAATTTTCAAAGCATCTCTCAGAACTGTTTTCACCGTATTGTGCAATGTCAGATATTTCGGAAGGATCACACAAGCTATATGGCTGTCTACTTCTTACAGGATGTTCCTTATCTCCCCAAATTACAGTGGTCAAAAAGCTCGAGACTGAAGGATGTTCTCTGCCAGTTCCAAGCGGTTGGGGAGATATTATTTCCCATCTTTTCATTAGTTCCACTTCTTACACTTCCACCTCATGAGCTGCATATCTATGGGTAATAACCTATCAACTTAATATGTTTTGTGTAAACAATTAGCACCTGAAGGTATTGCAAGATTACTGGTCTACAATGGATGGCATTGACAAGGCCCTTTGGGTTGTCGATCCTACAAAGCCGACATATGCTATGTCTCATCGTCGCATAGCTTTGGGTGATGATTGCTATATTTTACTACATGTTGATGCGCACAAGCCCAACTCCTTACCAGAGTAAGCTCAGATGTCAAGTCTGTACATGAAAATGCAAGCATCATTGTTGATCGTCAACAAATTTTCCAGGTGCCGCTTCCTAGGCACAGATGGGAAACTGGAAAGGCTGATAAAGAATTGGAGAAAAAATCGTAAGAGATGGTATATTGTCAGGTTTCCTGCATTAAGTGACCTGTTGTACCTTTTCTACTTATTTATTACTCCCTCTGTCCCTAAATATAAGACGTTTTTGCAGTTCAATTTTAACCACAAAAACGTCTTATATTTAGGGACAGAGGTAGTACTATTATATGCTATTGAAATATGTCATATTCAGATATTTTATAGCCTGTTGAAGTTAGTTCTGCATAACTCTGCTGCTCCTAGTATCTTCTTTTCTGAAATCCCCATGAGTGTGTTCTTGCGGAATAATATTAAACTAGAGAGTGTATAAATGAAATTGAAATTTCTCTAGTGTTACATTAGAGGCATGCGAGAGGTGTTACAGACATCATTTTTCTGATACTAGGAGCGCTGACGGAAAGTTCCATGAGAACCTGGCAACCGTCTTAGATTTTGCTCTGCCGCAACCCCCTTCTGTGAGTATCAAAGATGACCAGCAAGCTGATTGTGGGATATGTTACGCGACGCATCTGCCCGTCGGTGAGCCAATCTCTATTCCGCCTCTGGTCGCAACCTTTTCTGCCCATCATGTAGTTTCCTGACCATAATATCTTGCGTCTTTGCTCCTGAATGAAGATGACGAACTCGGTACTCAGAGCGGGTGCGCGGCGGACTACAAGTGCGAAAACCCTAGCTGCAGCAGAGCCTTCCACTCGGTGTGCCTGAGAGACTGGCTGCGCACCATTACTACGACAAGGCAGTACGTAGAAACGATGAAACCCTAAAGAGATTATTCCACCCACCATACGCATTGGATTGATGTGCAATGTACTCCATCTCTGATTGCTCTTGTCATCTGTTCTCTGCAGGTCGTTCGATGTTCTGTTCGGGAACTGCCCCTACTGCAGCGAGCCTGTCGCCGTGAAGAGCACCGACATCTGAACCTGCCTTCTTCGCATTTACAAATCGAGGTGCTGAAGTTGGCTTAATGTGAGCGGTTTGTCTGGATATAAACTAAGTTATGGAAACTGTGTATGCTTGTATAATAGTAGGAGTAGCATGTTTCCACCTTCCAGCGTGCGCTTTTCGATAATGACCTTCAAGCAGGTGTGGTTCCAGGTTTCGGGCGGACCAGTAAAAAGGAAGAGGGAAGAAAACAAGAAGATCTAGGTCGCTACGTGGATGAGCCGGTCGTCATGATCTAGATGTCATCAATGGAGCTGCAAGGGGTCAAAATTCCCGTTGCTTTCTACGAAATTGGCGTCCACTTCTAGAGATGAAAGAAGTGTGCCAGCCTAATTACTGAAAATTGGTGTCTCTTACGCACCCTTCTAGATTTGGGACGAATGAGGAATTGCTGACTGGTATAATTACAGTGGTTTGGATCTCTGAATGTCAATGCGCATTAGTATTTCCCTTGGTTGCTCGCCTAACGGCGACCCTTGAATTAGTTTACCAATTATTCCAAGCCGCCTGATGATAAAATAATAGTTCCAGAAAGCTGAAACGGTCAGTCAAACGGCCCAAATCCACGACGGCAAACGAACGACTATACTATTGCAGATCTAGTAGAGAAGGAAAAATTGCCATCTAGACTTGTAGTTGTCCCCTCTCTTAGAACAGTCCGATTTTATCCCGACACGGCGAACATATAACGGATTGCAGAGACAGGAGCGCATATCAGGTTCTCGTGGAAGAAAAAGGAGAGCTTTAGGAGGCATCATCGCACCAGATCCACCCATGTCGACGACGACGACGACGACGCATCACCCTGCGATTTGATCCCATCACCGGAGGGCAGGAGAAGGGGGAAAAAAGAGAGAAAAAGTAAAGGCTGCTGCCGGTGAGGCGAGCCGGTCCGCGGAGTGAAGTGGTGATCCACCACACCCACAACCACAAACAAACAGAGGCAGGAACCAGAAGCGACCCACCGGGCGGTTGAGCTCCCGCGCCGCCCCCTCGCCTCATCGGCACCCACCTCGCGCCACCGGCGTCACTGAGGAAAGTTCTGGGCGACTCCCCCAGGCGGCGGCGGCGGCGGCGGCCAAGTCAAATCCAAGTAGGATGGCGCCGGGGGAGGGCGGGGAGAAGAAGGGGAGGAGGAGGAGGAGGTGGCTGCCGGCGGCGTGCCTCCCGCGGCCCGGGTGCTTCACGGTGTCCGCCGCCGACGAGGGGCCCTCGGGCTCCGGCTCCGGCGCCGACGAGGGAGGCGGAGACGGGGCCAGCAGGCGGGCGCCCACACATCTGATCGTGACCGTCAATGGGATCGTCGGCAGGTGATTGTTTCCATCTCTTTTTTTACCCCTCCGTTTCTTACTGCTTTTCGGCGCTAACCTCGGACCACTCGCACGCAATCGGTTGGCTCCTTGACTTTTGAACTAAAGGCTATGTGGACAAAGTAGTTGGCAGTTTTAGAATCGTTTTTGAATGAATCTATCGGTCAACCTAATGAACCTATGATGGAAAGGAAAACAATCCATTGCAAATCATGAGTATTCAAGGGCTAACTTTCAGTGGATGCTGTTGGAATGTTGGATCCCTGAGGAACAATATAGCTGAGTATTATTTATTTATTTATTGAAATTAGATAGCTGAGTATTTGTCACACTTTCACACTACAGAAGTTGCTCTTAATCTTGTCAAAACTTTGGTTCAAACAAATATAAACATTCGAATCTTCCCTCAAAAAAAATTAAGCATTCGAATCCACAGAAACATAATTTATTTTAATATACACTTGTAAATGTATATTAATTGATACACTTGTTCATGTGAAATGTCAGTAGACCTGCACAAATTGATACATAATTTTTCTTCTAAGTTCTTACCTTCTAATTAGGTTCCAGCGTGCAGTAGTATTACTCTATTACGTTTGTGAGTTCCAGCACGTTTGTGAGTTCCAGCTGCACTCACAAACAGAAGGGCGTGCAAGTGTTCAAGACATGTAATAATGCGCAAAATCCTATATTTTACCTTAGTTTCTTGAATGTGTTGTTAGCTAACATGCAGTTCTACAATGTGTTCTGAGGAAACATCTATTTCCATTTTACCTTAGTTTCTATCATGCAGTGCAGTTGCATTGTGAGGAGACATCTATTTCCACTTTTTTTTTCAAATGTTTGACTTTTCTACTGCAGTGCAGAAAATTGGGGTTACGCAGCAAAACATTTCATCAGAAAACACCCTGAGGATGTGGTTGTTCATTGTAAGTTCAACAGCATTAATTAAAGTATTTTATTATTTATGTGCAAGTACGTTCAACCCCAAAACTAGTACTCTTTCAGTTGGGAATGGACCACTATTTTGGACAGTGAATTAAGTAGTCACACTATCATTAATGGCACATCTCCTGTGGGAGAAAATAAATGGGAACGTTCTGTTGTGTGGTACAGGCAGTGGATGCAACTCAGCAACTCGAACTTTCGATGGTGTTGATGTGATGGGAAGGAGATTAGCGGAGGAGGTGAGTATTGGTAAATTCATGTTGGAAAATTTAATGTACAGAGCTGAGCTAGCCTCAATGATCTTTAATCTACTTTCTTTTCTACTCTTCTCTTTCATGATAAACAACCTTACTATTCCAGGTGGGGAGAGCTAGCCTCAATGATCTTTAATCTACATTTTTTTTTCTACTCTTCTCTTTCATGATAAACAACCTTACTGTTCCAGGTGGGGAATCCCCCCACCGCTGATTACTGAAAAGCACACCCTTATATGCTTTATCATTATATCAGCTCCTATTACTCTCTGCCTCGTCTTCCTTACTTCAAATTAACCTATATTTTGTGTTTTTAGGTGATTTCAGTTGTTAAGTGTAGACCAGAACTTCAGAAGATCTCCTTTGTTGCACACTCATTGGGTGGGTTGATTGCAAGATACGCCATTGCACTACTATATGAGCCTACTACACAAACAGATTGTCATGAGGAGTATGAGAAGGATGTCAATGATGCTCGTAGCAACCAACCGATGGGTCAAGGCAAGATTGCTGGTTTGGAGCCCATGAACTTTATAACTTTTGCAACACCACACCTTGGCACAAGATCACATAAACAGGTTATTTACAAATTTTGCAGTACATTCTGCCTTTATATCAAGCCTTGGCCAGATGGCAACCTATTGTGGTTTAATTTGAGCTTGCACAACTAGATATCTTTTTTTTTTGACAAACCAACATATCCCTGCATTATATTAAACCAGAAGGAGTATGGAAGCTCAGATACAAAGTGGATAAATTTGAGTTAATGAATTATGTATATTAATGGCAAATATGAACTTCAGTAAAGGTATTAGTTTGATGTAAATATAGTTACACCATTTTGATTTAAGTTGTTCCTTTTTTCCATTTCATTCACCTGGTTGCTACCATACCTCTCAGTGTTACTTATTTTTTTTTCGATGTATTAAATATGCACAACTTTCTTCCTCCTAATATCCATCACTGGCAATTAGTAGCTTTCTGATTCTAGTGGGTGCATCTCGTACGATGGTGTGACAAACTGGCAGATTGACTGGATATGCAGATTAATTGACTCCATTGTTGATTGCTACACGCAGATGCCCCTTCTCCGTGGTTCCTATAGATTGGAAAAGATGGCTTTTGGTATGTCCTGGCTTGCTGGGAGAAGTGGAAAACATCTTTTTCTAAAGGATGTTGAAGATGAGAAGCCACCATTACTTCTTCAGATGGTTACTGATTACGGGGATCTCCATTTCATGTATGCCATATAAATGTTGTTTTCGATGAATAACTACAAAAATAGATCTCCTTATTTCAGCGTATCTTATACTTTGTTTCTTTGTGCAGATCAGCTCTTCGTTCTTTCAGGCGCTGTGTTGCTTACTCAAATGTTTGTGGTGATTGTATCCTTGTGCCATGAATATTTGTACTTAGCAGATCAATATAAACATATTGGCTATCTATTTACCAATTCAGAATTTAAAGCACTTTGTTTTATGGCCTTGACTGAAGGGGAGCCTTGGCGCAGTGGTAAAGCTGCTGCCTTGTGACCATGAGGTCATGGGTTCAAGTCCTGGAAACAGCCTCTTACAGAAATGTAGGGAAAGGCTGCGTACTATAGACCCAAAGTGGTCGGACCCTTCCCTGGACCCTGCGCAAGCGGGAGCTACATGCACCAGGTTGCCTTTTTTGTTTTTTTTTTGTTTTATGGCCTTGACTAAAAGTTCAGTCGTTGTTGGCTGGAAGACATCTTCAATACGCCGTCAGCATGAGCTTCCCAAGGTAATGATCTATTTATTATCAGCCCATATTTGGTCTGTAACAGGGTTCTTATGTTTCAAAATCCTCTGGCATCAGAAAGAAGATTTTGTGGATGATGTAAGATATCCACATGTTGTATATGTGGAAAAACCAAAGGCTCGGGATGTTGATTTTTCGGATGAAATGATTTATCAGGCAAAAACTACAAGTGAAATGGAAGGTAAGATACTGAGTTGGAGTTATAGTAGTACCAGGCTTTCCATGATGATGTGCTGTTTATTGTCAAAGGACTTGATAAACCAGCAGAAACCATAGATGCCGAGTTTCTAATGACGAAGTCTTTACGCTGGTTAATGTTTGCATTGGAGCTAAAGTTTTGTTTTTATTTAGCGTGTTTTGTATTATATCCAATACCATTCCATACTTCCATTTCTCCAGGATGATTAAGATCATATGTTCTGTAACTGAATTAACCTGTCTTCAATTTCAGAGGTAATGCTGAAAAGCCTAAATAGAATTCCCTGGGAAAGGGTAGATGTTAGCTTCAAGAGAAGTAGACAAAGGATTTTTGCCCATAGCACCATTCAGGTTTGTTATAAACCCCATGGCCTTCTGGTCCTTATTCTTCATGTCTGTTGGATAAAAGTTTCTACACTGTGATTACTTTACATGTTGGCACCAAAAAAGAGCCCCCCTTTGAAAGGCTACATTTTGAAGTTTCATTAGCATCTGTCTACTGAAAGCTCTTGGCTACATTAATTTTCTTTAAGCATTGCCATTTGTTCTAGAATTATTTTACCAGTCAATAGAATTTGCTTATGTCTAGGACAAGAATGTCAGTGCAAGACATTAGAAGAATGGTCACACTTTAATGATTAACTGCAAGACTGTCAGTGCTTGCACTGCTGATTTTAGGAATGCTGCAGATTCTTACCCGATGATATCGTAGTAGTTGATCATGTGGGGCGTATGGCTCCAACGACACAAGAGCTAGAAAAGGCTACCATTTAAGTTGGTAGGTAGGTTATCATGGACCAAATACGGATGCAGTCCTTGCTGTCAAAAACAGCAGGCCCTCTCTCCATTTTATGCCTATTCAGGATAGCTTTGCTACCTATGCGTTATAAGTTGCTGCAAGCTCAGGAACACAAGGTTTAGCCCAACTTGCATGGCTGGCTAGCAGGGTAGCTCTATCCACTTTGTTTCTTGAAAACAAAAAGGGAAAAAAAAAACAGAGCTATCCTTGTCCGTATGAGTTGATGCTTGTGTAATAAGCTGCAATGCCAAAACTGAAATGTGATATGCAATGCACAAGTCAGTTATTGATAAGTGTGTCGATGAAGCAAATTTACCAAGTTGTCACCGTCTGAAAAAACTCATGCATTCTTTCTCATTTCTTTCGTGTCGCAGGTGAAGATATATTTCTTCAACTCTGATGGGGCTGATGTGGTCTTCCACATGATCGACCATTTTCTCTACTAACATGGAGCGATAACGTGGTGGCGGTGCCGATTTCTTTCTCTTCTTCTATCTGGATACCAATTTCTTTCTCTTCTTCTATTTGGATTATTGGGTACCAATTTCAATTGGATAGGAAAAGGATAGGGGCAAAAAGTGTTGGAGATATACTACAGTGGAACAGGCAGAACCACCCGCTGGGCCTATGTAGGCTTCCTGTAAAGTCTGTCTGGGGCTCGGTAGGTTCTTTTCTTTTCTCTCTTGCATCCATGCTTCAGTGTGCATGCATGCATGTAAATGTTTAATGGACCACAGGCTGTTGATTCATCAGTGTAATAAAATAAGATAAGATCCGCTGTGTGTTTGCGTCTCGAGCAGAGAACTCGTAGCGAGAATTACGGGTATTGACCTCTCTTGCCGTCAGTGCATGCATGTCTCCAGCTTGACCTGAAAACCTCTTTAATTTCCCAAGCACTTTGACTGGCTACACCAGTATATTATATACCACCAGCAGAAAAAAAAACAGTATTATATACCACTACTATACTGAAGCTACGATTATTGCTTGTGACATTATTGGGATGCACAGTGTATGGCTGCGCTAATGGGGATTCAAGCCGTGTCGTCCGGTTTAGAAACACCTTAACTCGTGTGAGTTAAAAGAGATCCCATCTTCAAAACATGAGATTTACGTACTTGGAGCAATGGTCAGAGCGAGCGTGCTTTGTGACATGGAGTTTGGTTCTCAAATCATTCGCTCCCCCTCGTCCTCTCTGATCACCGCCCGCTTTTGCTCGCTAATGAAAATGGCATCAAGCGCTCCAAATGCTTCCGCATTGAGAACTTTTAGATTAATATGCCCGGTTTTCAGGAGACGTGGAATGAGGATCACAACCATGTTGAGCCCTACCAGGTGCTACACCACAAGCTCAAGAAGACTAGCATCAGACTAAATGCTCTTTTCTCCAATGCGGAAGTTCAACTCCATATGGCCCTGAAGATAATTCTTTGCCTTGACATTGGACAAGAATCTCGAACCTTGAGCCCGGCAGAGCTTGACCTTCGAAGGAGGCTCAAGCGGCGGGTGGTTGGCTTGGTTATGTTTGAGAAGGCTAGAAATGGGCAAAACTCAAGAATCACAAATATCAAAGGAGGAGATGCAAATACAAGATTCTTCCACCTAAGAGTTAATCGTTGCGAGAGAAAAAAATATTCACCGCCCAAAGCATAATGTGGGATGGGTGGCGATCACAGTCACAAGAAGGTCATTGTCCACCGTCACTTCTCCTCTATCGTCAAGAAGGGGCCTCGTCGACATAAGTACCTAAATTGGAATAGCATATTCCCGTCCCAGCTTGTGATCTCAATGACATCGGAGCTCTTTTTACCATGGACGAGGCTAGGCATGCGGTATTTGATTCTGCAAGTGATAAGACGCCGGGGCCTAACGGATTCTTGACGTCCATGGCCTACAAGATGCAATTCGAGGGGCTCTTCATCACGCCTCTGCTAAAGACCGCTTGAAAGGCGTGGGCTACTCCAAAATGCAAGTTATCTGCTTGGTTGATCATTCACAATAGAGTTTGGACGGCCGATTGACTTCATCGTAGGGGATGGCCAAATTTCGGTATGTGCCCCCTCTGCAACCAAATTCAAGAAACGATGGCCCATCTCCTTTTCCAATGCTAATATTCCGACTGCGGTTTGGAATGCAGTCAAGGCACGGATCGGCTTGGGCGATATTAGGACAAGTGATTGGCCGACTATATATGGTCGTTGTCAAAGATTGGTGGAACAAGATCGTCGTCCTCGCGATGAATAGCCCCCCTCCTTATGCTTATTTCCTCGGAGCTTTGCAAGGAGAGGAACGCTATGGTCTTCTGGAACATCTCCACTCCTTCGATGATCATTGTGCATAGGGTCCTTGAGGAGGCTAGGTTGCGGGTAGCGACGGGTGCCAGGGGATTAGATGCCATTTTACCTCGCGGGTAACTGCTCTATTTTGGCTTGGAACTCATGAAACCATCGGTCTCTTCTTAACTAACGAAATGGCAAGTCTTTTGGCTCGTTTCAGAACAAAGAAAAAAGGCAACCGCATGAGCCTGAAATGCACCGAGAGAGAAAGAGAACGGGGCATCTGACATCACCATCATCGCCATCGGGGGTGTGGACTGAACTGAAGATCAACAAGTACTAGCATCGTTATCCATCCCAGCTATAGCTGCCTGTCCGGCTGAAATTCTTGGCCCGCCCTATTTTCCGATCCCCGTTCCGCTTGCAGTTGCAGGGAAGAAGGGCCTGCACAGGGGCACAGGCGGGTCCCCGCCATTTTGGAAACGAGCCCAGCTCCACGCAAGCGCTCTGCTCCCCGTCGCATCGCATCTCATCTCATCTCCCCTGCTTCGTCTCTCTCTCTCTCTCTCTCTCTCGCTGTACTCCTCTTTTCTCGCATGGCCGGAGCGAAGGACCTCGCTAATCCGTGCCCCTGCTGGCGTGCATGCAGTGCAATGTGAAGGAGGGAGGGAGGGAGGGAGGTTAGGCAGGCATGCGTCGCTGTCTCTGCCCCCAGCCCTTGTGCCCTCCTGCCGCCTCTCTCTCCTCCCAACTCTTGTGCTCCCCCCTCTCCCTCCCGCTGGCTCTGACGCCGCTGCACGAAGCCTTTAATGGCTTCAGAGCTCAGCCACATTCAATGGCCATCGTCCGTGCTGGTGCTGCCACACCACACCGCTGTAGATAGACAGGGCCAACCCCTCTCCCTCTCTCTCTCTGTGGACCATTTATTCCCAGCGCCACAGCTACAAGGAACGCCTGCCCATGTGAGCGCGATCCCTGATATAAGTAGCAGGCTAGCAGCGGTACCCTACTCCCCGGCTGCTTCCCTCATTCATTCATCAGTGAGTGCTTAACTACCTCCAAGCTCCAGTCGAGCCGATCGAGCTGAGGGAACTCCCGCCCTCCCCCATGAAGCTCCTGCTACTTTACTCCTCGCTCCTGCTTCTCCTTTTGCTACTATCCTCCCAGGGCCTAGCCTCTACTACTCAAGGTGCGTGCGTGCCAAGATCTTCTTACCGTCTCCACTACTCCACACCGCCGCATCTTCCTCGCTTTCTCTGCCTCTAGCTGATGTATCATGTTGCCGTCGCGCGCTTTGTTGCAGGTAGAGGGCCGCTGCATTACCAGCTCAAGGAGGCAGCTCCAAAGGTGGCGGAGGGCGCGGAGGCGATGTCGGCGGTGAGGATCGGGTCGAGGCCGCCGCGGTGCGAGGGGCGGTGCGCCCTCTGCGGCCGGTGCGAGGCGGTGCAGGTGCCGGTGGCGCCGCGGGGCAAGGGGGGGAGCCACTTCCACCTGTCCGGAGCCTTGGGCGGCGGGGACGACGACGAGGGCTCCACCAACTACAAGCCGCTTAACTGGAAGTGCCGGTGCGCCGACAGGAGGCCGATCCTCAACCCGTGACGGCCGACGCCTGCTCAAGAAGAAGATGCTTGACGAGCCTCCGGCATCTTTGGTCCATCCCATCACAGATCACATGGCTGCTGTAAGTTGTTGGGAGAGGCTGCATGCGCTAAGATCAACTACACTACTGTACATGGCTGTGCAAGGAGTGGTTGTTGGGACAAGTTTTGGTCAGTTTGTTTAGGTATAGAGTTTATGATGATGATGATGATGATGCTGGATGATCAACTACATGCTGCTAGTAATTTGGAGGTGTTGCACTAACTGATCAGCTGCTTCTGAGTTCCCCTATATTGTACTATAAGCTTGGTGGTGTAATTAAGAGACTGATATCACTTCGTGTTGTCGCTCTGATGGACTAACAAGGTCCTGTCAACACATTGGTACTACTAAACATACGCGACCTTTTCTGGATCGTCTGGAAAAACAAAAAAGATGAATGTCGGATGTAAATCGAGTTTTATTTACAAGAAAAATGGCACGTGTCCTTTTTTTTGTTTGGAGATGATAAAGGCTCTGAAAAGGGGGGGCCAAACAGCGAGACGAGAGCTTTTTTGGAGCCCTTGGAGCTACGCTCATCATTGCTGTGGCCTTGTCTTTTCCTCCGAAGAACTTGTGCCCGTAAGCAAAAGCATGTGATTCGCTCCCAGGACATGTCCTCCAGGCCCAGGGATTCGCCACCATCTCACACAGACAGGCCCTAGCAGAGGACTCCAATAAGAAGATTACCTACTCGCGTCAGCCAACAAGATACGTGGTTTGATCGTGTGATTTCTCTCTTCTGCTCCCGGTTAGGGTAATGAAGTGGAGTTCGTTTTTGCCCATTGATGATCTCTTATTTTTACAGAATTTCAAGTTCAGTGAGAGAGTACAAGCGGATGTTGCCTCTATAGCCTGTGATGTGGTGTGGTGTGCATGCATGGCTAACTCAAGCCTTGAGCAAAGGTTACTAGAGTAGTAACTTGGCGTCTGCATTCAACCAAGAGCCCTGACTGTCACGTGCAGATATGCAAAATCCTGCCTACCAACCTGAGTGCGAGAAAAGGACAGTGCTGAGCCAACATTCAATACTCTACTTTGCTCCAGTGAGTGAATGTATGACTGTGCGCGAGCTAGTCCTCCTCTCCTCTCGGCGAGGTCTAGCGAGTGACAAGTCATGTCTCGTGTCCATGGGCATTCAAGCGTCTGTCTCCTCTGCCCCCATTTTTTACTCTTCCTTTCCTTTTCTTTCTTTTTTCACACAAGGAGAGCAGTCAGAACATTTATTACTGTATGACAAAGCGTAAGGACACAGCTTAACAGCAAGAGGGAGGCCAGGCCACGGCCACACCCACAGCAGCAGTCAAACCTCAAAACAAGTCGGCCACACAAACTATAAGCAAGAACCAAAATACAGAAGAGAGAAACCAAAAGAGACGGCAAGCTAGGGCACAACACGCGTGTTGCTTGAGTGAGGTGAATGCGCTCGACCGGCAATGGGAAATGCACAAGAGATAAACCAGAAAGACATTTCTCAAAAGAGATGAGAGAATATACAGCAGCGATCTGCCCAGCCGAGTTGGTTTCAGAGGAGAACCTCCAACCCAAGAATTACTACCTGTATATGTGTATTTACCCAATCATCTATATCCCCGACTGCCTGGGATTTCAGCAGCATCTAACCATGTATCTTACAGAGGACGTATATATGCCACCATCCACCAACCAACCACAAGAGCGACGACAAGAGAAGATCCAGGACGGCTTCGAGAGCAAAAACAAAACGAAGCACCAGCCTAACTAACATGACGTTGTCTCTTGTCTTGCCAGCTGGGAAACAACCTCACACCTGCACAAATTTCCCAGTCTGGTTTGAGGGAGCAGACTGCTTTTTTTTATGACGACCGCAATCCTGCCCTCTGGTAGGAATGGGATATGGAACATCTACGACTGGGAGTTTTCGCGCAATTTTGCCCTGGCGAAAAATACTCCTGCTAATAGCCCTGCGGGGTGATGGCATGTATGGTTTCTTTCGTTAGTGAAATGCAGTATATGTCAGCAGCCGTAAGGCAATATGGTCATAGACGAAACATACCGAACAGAATGCTGATGGAATTCTCCATGCTCGTGCGGACTTTGAAGAGAAGGATTCCGGCAATGGAAAGTGGGATCTTGTTGAGGGAACCTACAAGGCTGCAGGGCAATGTTGGCATTAGAAGCTCAACAAGAGTGAAGGGCGACGAATTTTGAGAGGCTTATCAGATTCATTTGGTACCTATATGTTGTTGCGCTTGTCTGACGAAGAAACCACATCGAAGTGAAGCTGATAGCGAGCCCCAAAACCCCGCTAGCAGTGATGACTAGCCAAAACGTAGGCATCCTCAGGAGAGGCCTGCAAATTCACTTCCCATAAGACACAAGTAGCATTTGCAATTACAACTAATTGTTCCGTCAGATGTGCTAGCTGCAGTAGTTGTATCCTTTTTTTAGAGATGCAATAGTTGTATCTTGATAGGAGCTTAAGCAATATTTTTTTACCAGCAGATAACACATTTAAGCCTATACACCACTTTCCTGTCAATAGTTGTATGTTGGAGGAGGAACCACAGTTTGCATTTAGTTATTAGGTTCATGCTAGAACATAAAACAAGTGAACGAGTGAAGTTTGAAGCTTACGTTTCCAACAGGTACTCCACTTCATTAAAACCAAGCACGAGGATAACTCCCAATGGTAGTGAAAGAATATTATTCAGTAAAACCATCGAAAGCTCATTCAAATTCCCAGATCTGGTGGCTTCCTTCGCACTATCCATTACATGCCTCAATGTAAGCTGGAAGCAAGTAGTTCATTTGTTAAAATTTATATGGAGGTACCTCACAACTGAAGATATTTGTCCTATAAACTAGAGTGTGAATCTTGGAACTGAATGTAAGAATCTAAAACATTTGGGAAGAGTAACAGTTTGATAATTGGCTGCATATTGTAAATTTTCAGTGGCATTGAGAAGAACAATACCGAATATGATGCTGTTAAAAAACAGTTTAAGATCTGCCATGTATAGCCGACTGCATGAAATGACAGATCTGTTACTCCTCCTGCAATGGCTGAGATTATCTACAGAAACAGAGAGACGAGTCAGGTCTTTAAGGGCCCAATAGTGTGTTAATTTAAGTCATGTTTCATGAACATCTATGATTAGATATATAGCAATGAATTGACTACATGCAATTATTCAGCAACAGAAGAAAAAATAAGCCCCCTCAAGCATTCAAATCCTGCCCAAACATTCATAAATTCATGACATACCATCAACATTAGAGAAATCCAAACTTGTCTATCATGCTGCTTCTTAAAGAAGTAGGTTTCCCCAGAAGCAGTAAGAACATTGGCGACATTCTTCAATATAGTCAACATCGCAACATTGATGTACTTCAAACTGAAAGGTACAGAAAATGTTAAAATGTGCAGTGCTTATCTGGAATTTCCTTATTACAAGTTGAGGAACAATTTCTTCACAACTCATATGGAAATGCTCAACTCATAATGTTCAGAAAACTTAGAAATTTTCATAGTCTGAACAAACTAATTGAACATGAACAGAGAAAGAGCAAACGAGCCTCAGCACAACAAAATTTTACCCTTAAATGAAATCTATGGGCTATCAAACATTATTAAGCATCAATACTAATTTAAGGAGGAACAAGCTATATCCCATGTGTGTTCCTTTATGCATGGCTCTGAGAGTGGGGGCAAATGAATAGAGAGCAGTATTCATATTTTCCGAAATGGAGACTATACAATAGAAACATAAAATAATTGCTTAAATTTGATAAAAGATGCCCCGATACCGAAAGGATATAAGTACAGACCAGCATAAACTGCGCAGAAAACAGTCCTCAGATCAAAATGATTTGAAAATTTGATACATACCTAAACATGCTTGTAATTAGCATTCCGACAAATATGATGTTCACAGGCAACCAAACTTTGATTAACTTCCATGTTAGTGGTTCAGTTGAGATAACACCGGAGAGGGACAGTGTGGAAACTATGGTCACCGATACAATGTTCTGCAGCATAACATGATGAAGAAAATACTATCAGTGTTACCCACGCAGCAAATATCTATGAGAAGGAAAACAAGATTGCATAAGAAGTATATGGTCAGCCATAGCAATATACCTGGTAAAGCATCAGAAATATTCCAGCATTAAAACCATAGCCAGACAAAACAAACTTGTTAACCAAAATCATGCTGCAGGATGCTATACAGTAAGCAAGACCAGATAGAAGAGACTGATTCTGAATGTTTGGGAGCCTGAGGAAGTGTGACGGCCTATCTCTATCTTTTGAGGCCTCAACATCTTCCAAGTCAACGTCATCAACAGAGAAGGACCTCATCAAAGATCTGGAGAAAATATGAGACAAAAGCACAGTGCATTGTGTTAGCTCAGGCCATAAATGCTTCCTTGATATTTTCATTTGAGGAGGCGACAATGTGGTCCATAAATGCCTGCAAAATAACACATAGATCAAGAGAAGCTTACATGCCTGTTCCCAATCTCTCTCCTCATGGGACTTGCAAGTGCACCTTGTCCTCCAATCTGATCCCAGAGTTTACTCTTTTCTCCGTTCACGAGTGGACTAGTTGTAGTAATCTCCGGTGATTTTCTCCCGGTAGGGGTGCCAGGATCCACATGATTGCCTAAGTGTTGGATTCTACAAGGTAAAACAGTGCTCACAATCAACAATAATCCAATTATTTAATGCATGAATCTCTTATGTACTATGTTTAACAGTAGGTCCCATTTTTGTACTCTGGTCAAGCATGCATATGAAACCTATGATACTTCGAAACGCATCATAGTGGAGCAAAATTATAAGCATTAACAGTTTCCAAAAGAGTTCTGCGCATGTTCATACTATATACTTAAAAATGCATCGTAGTGGAGCAAAATTATAAGCATTTGCATTTTCCAGAAGAGTCACCACATGCCCCTACACTACATAAAATCAAACTAAAAGGATCGGTTTCCACAAGAGTTTTCATATATCCGTACTATAAATAAAATCTGCTACAAGGGTTACTTCCAATATTTGCTCAGGATTTTCTGCCTGCGTGACACATTTTAAAATGTAGGGAGTTGAGATGAGCCCGGTTGAGACATTGAACAAGCCAATTTTCAAGCATCGTGAAATTACCCTGTGAAAATATTTTTCAGACATCACTGTGATTCAGACATTTAATTATGGGTTGCAGCATAACAGCGACATTTTGGGCGCTCTAATCACTCGTAGCACATACAGAGCACATGAACTTGGGATGCACCCTAGAACAGGGCCAAAACAAAACAAAAACTGTATACTGACATATTGCGCAGGGACAGAGCAAAATGAGTCCTCCTCGACCGAATCCACGGTTAACAATTTAACATATACACAAACTTACAGGTCCCTCCCAAACCTACCCTCAATCCATGGGAAATACACATATGTGGAAAACTAGACATGCTGGTTGGGAGGAAACCAGGCCGCGTGATTGATAGATAAAGGGGGAAAGAAAGGGAGTGATTAGGCGGAACCCTTCGCGTTACCTCATTCCGGGGGTCGCGAGCTTGGGGGTGTCCGGCGGCGACGAGCTGGAGAGGGCAGAGGTGGGATCCGGCGGTGAGGGCGCGCAGACGCTCCAGGCCCGACTTGCTCCGGCGAGAAGGCGGGCGGACAGGTGGAGGCGAGGGAGCTGGGAGGTCCGTGGTCCGTGGAGCAAGTGGGGGGAGGAAGAGGAGGAGCGGGAGCAGGAGGCGAAATGGTCGCCGCTGGCTCGGCTCGGCGGCTTGACGAGTCAGCGAGACCGAAACCCAGTGCCTCGGTTTATCCGGCCGTACGGTAGGCGGGCTGTCGCAGGGACTGCCGGCTGGCGAGGTCAACGGCGCAGCGGCAGCGGCAGCGAGCGAACACGCATCACTCCACATACACATACCGCCGCTGGGTACGGCACGAGAGCGTCAGGTGTACCGGATAGTCACCCTCTGCGTTCGGTTTATTCGGTTTACATGGTTCGGTTTATACGGTTTTTTGATTTGTATGGTATTAATACTTCGATAAATGCGGTATAAAATTAAATACAGTTCGGTTTTAGTATATACCAAATTATTTTGGTATGGTTTCGGTATATACCATAAAAACCAAAGTTGACGCAAATTTGAAAATGACGTAATAATAATTTGCAAATTTATGACTCAAAACACATACTATTTTGCACAAATAGTATATGACTATATATATAAGTATATATGCATGCATTAATTCGTCTGTTGATGGTTATGGACGTGCTTAGCATTTTAAAAAGAGAAAAATGACTATGTTACAAGAAAATTTTACATGCTTATTAGTGAATTTGACTCATGTATAAGAAAAATGACAACTTGTATGGTTGTTCATCTCAAAAAATATAAATTTATTTTTACTTCGGTTTATTCGGTTAACCGTTCGGTTTTTCGGTATATACCATAAAAACCAAAGTTCAAATCGGTATGAAAAGTTCATACCATACCAAAATCAGAAACCATAAAAACCATAAAATCGGTTCGGTTCGGTTTATTTTCGGTATGGTTTTTCGGTTCGGTTTTGAAATGCACAGGGTGACCGGATAGGCAGATGCCGGAGGTTTGGAGTCAAACCTCTTTAAATTTGATCGAGTTTATAAAGGCATTGCTTGTTACGCAGGGGCAGAGTATTTTTCTACATGTATTTGGTCAAACATAAGATTTTAAGTATTTTGGAACGGAGAAAGTACACCGGATCAAGATTGCTCGTTTCGTCAATATCCTCACGGATCTTAATTCTCTCACACACTTTAATCTACTTCTAAATGTTTTCCACGGCAACACCAAGTTTTTTGCTATGTTTCATCAAGAAAAGTGTGTGCAATGTGAGGCCAAAGCAATTACAACTGCTCTCCTGACATTATCACCCTCAAAATGTTTAGGGCAACTCCAGCGACGTGTATCAAATCAGACACATCAAACTGCAGACATGTCTGACGACTGTGTGTGCGGACGTCTGACTACCCGTTGCATTGTAAAAAAAAAAAGATGAACCACGCGGTTCAAACATTTAGGGGGCGCTTTGATGTACCGCGTGCGTTGGAGATGCCCTTAGGTCTTGATTGGATTGTTGTTTTCCAGCGCTTTACACCTGTAAAAGATACACACCTCCATCCATCGTTTTTCTTTCTCAGTGGAAATTACATACAGCCAGTCAAATACACTTGTAGAATAAATATGGTTGTAAAAAGATCCACCGATTCGAAGCAGGGCCTTAGCCTCCGCAACACTCTGCGACTCCATCTCTCTTCCGATGTTAGCGAAGCTAATTGATGGCACGGTAGATATTTTCCGGAAGCGAGACCGTGGCCGGAAGAGCTCTTTTGATCCGAACTCACATTCTCCCTGATGAACAGTAAAATTCAAGAAAATGATGAAAAAAACAGTATTTTATGATAAACATTGCTAAAAGTCTTAACTAACTGCAAATTTTCGTGATGAAATAACATTGGTGGAGGTCTGGACCAAAAGAACAAAATCGATGCTCCAAAATGCTCCCAACAATAGTTTTTTGGAGCATCGTTTTTTTCCCAGACCTCATTTCATCACAAAAAGTTCCACGAAGTAAAAACTTTCATCAATGTTTATTACAAAAGAAATTCAGATTTTTTTTACTATTTTACGGATTTTACTATTCATCAAGGAGCATGTGAGCTCGTGTTCAAATACTCCGCATCCAACCGTGGCCTTCTTCATCCTCCTCATGGTTGACCACCTCAATCCGCCAATGTTTCACGGGGTGAATTTATGCCAAGCTCCAGGATTGATATCCTAATGACCAAACCAATTGTTTACCAAACCAAACTACAACTATCTATGAAATGAGTGTCAAAATATCAAGTGCAATGAAAACAGGGGCAAATCACCGAAGTGCAAAGAAACCTATGGCAAAAGAACAATGTAGAGAACCACATGCACATTTGTGAAATATAGCTGTAGTTTAGACATGCATTCTGTGCCCCTTTTGTTGTTTTAGTACAGTTTAGATCAGTCAACATATTTGTTTCTCTCTTTTTGCAAGCAATCATCAATTGTGAATGTCTCCTTGTTCCACGAAAAAAAATTGACATGAGAACTCACTCTACATAGTGGTTACCAAAGAGGCAAATAGGTAGGGCGTATGACGCGTGAGCTCGTAAAGCAATCAATTCCAATATGTACTGTACATTGTTATGTTCCGCAGCAAGGTACAAGTTTCTTATCTACCATGTATAAACGCATAATTCTATCAGAATCGGGCTCACACACGACGAAGGTCAACCATATCAAACTTCACACTGGGGTTCATGTACACATGAGAGCAATGCTCGTAGATTGAAGTGCCATCTAGAGGCTCCTCGTGAGGATGGAAACCAGTCTCCTGGCAATCGTGGATCACCCCCATGCCACCTGGATCCGTGAGGTGAAATATGCCGTGCTTCCTGCTCAGAGAAAATATAGACCATTGTCATGAGATCGTCTAATCAGATGAACAGACAGCACCTATTGTAAATAATTTATTCAAGACAATGAAGAACAGTATGCGTATTTTCCAAGGATTTGTTTCGGGAAGGATTAAGCAACATTGCTTGGTAGTACTTGTTATTTTAGGTTCAACGGATTCACTGAAACTGAGGACCGAGGAATAACTGCAGGGGAGGAACGTAAAGCATGTGCGTGTCTACATAATCATTTGCAGATTCATGGTCTTAACTAGGAACTACTCTTTCCTCCAGCTATCAAGGAAATTATAGCATTTAGTTAATCTATGGCTAAGAAATACAGAAATGAAGGATAATAATATACAGCAATGTAAATTCAAACCACAAAATCTGCACTAATTTGCCCAAAAAACTGCATGCGAGTCCAATGTAACATATACCTTGTTGTATCGGTAGGCGCCATGACAATTGCAATTGCTTCAGGAAGCATGACCTGTTGAAGCCAACAATGCCAAACACAGGATCAAGTTAAGAATACTAATGAATTTGCTGGAGTAGTTTATGAAATATACTTGTAAGAAGCAAGCAGTTGACAAATGATATTGGCACGGTCTGCTTTTGACTGCAAGATGTATGTATGTAGATCCTCACAACATCTCCACTAACATAAAAAGCACCAGCTGTGGCTGATCCAAAACATCCTAACTGCTTGGCTATCCACATCTAAAGGTCCATATTGATTCCATCTTCAGCGCAGCACAACACAACTAATACCCCTAGGCTTGTTGTAAATTACGAATCACCCACCACTGCCTCCTGAATAGCATGCTGATGCACCCCTCCCAAACGTTCATTGCACGTGTTTAGTTACTACTAGTTTAGTGATAAGGATTTCAGAAACAATAAAGAATTTCATCAATTTTGGCTCAGCAACAACATTTCAGACTGGACCAAAAACATACAAGAAAATGCCATGACTACCGTATACAAATTCATTACCAATGCTGCAATCATAGCCCGGTGCCAGGGAAGTTGTGCCGAAGCATAGAAATCCTTGCCCATAAAGTTAGAACTTAAGGAATTAGAGATAAGTCAGTAACAGAGACATCACAGTTAGCTGAATTCTATCTTCAGCACTAACCCTTCTACTTTAGGTGAGTAAATAATGAATAAAGGGAAAAAAATACAAGAATCATCTCAAAGGGAGCCGCCAGCAGTCACTTGTTACACTCTCAATCTCAGGGATGTAACGTCCCAACGAACCCAGTTTCAAGATATTTGTGTCAAGCAAAATCATACAAGAAACACAACAATAATTTTTCTATTGATCGAGAAATTACAACCCAATTTCATTGCTATAGTGCATTCAAATTCCGAGACTTTGGGCCACTACTGAACAACAGCCATATATTGAGAAACCTTTTTTGGCTCAGATCAACTAGTTGCTGGACATGGCATCAGTGAGTGCAAAGCACAATACAAACAACAATTACTACAACAGAAGTATGGCACATGGGGATTACCTGATACGAATAATGATTATGAAGATCAATGGAAGATAGAAAGCAGGTCTGTGTCGGATGTGTCTGAAAAAGAACATAAAATTGTGAAAGAAGAGTTTAATTGTCAATATATCATAGGTTAGGATACAGAGACACCAAATGGTGCTTTCGGCACAACTGAGCATCACGAAACTCCCAGTGAGTATTAAACTGTAGCAATTTAGAGTACAGAATGAGTTAACAATAACCTTAGCCTCAACAAGTTCCCAATAGATAACCCCATCCGCTCAAATATATTTGATAGGACACAAATTCTTTAAGCATAGGACTGATACTTTTGAATTTGGTAGGTGTGCTCCATGTGTACTACATCCATGCAATTTCTTGGGTGCTTTTGAACAGTGCACAATGGACTTAACACAGATGGGGACATGGGCACTAATATGCATCAACAAACAAATACTCCCTCTGTAAACAAATGTATGACGTTTTAGGTCACTACTTTAATGACCTAAAATGTCTTGCATTTGTTTATGGAGGGAGTAAAATTCAACTATGAATAGGCTTTCA